CAGTAAAGAAAAAACATCTAAACGTTACACTTTCAAATATAATTAGAAATATTAGAATTAAATAATCTTTGTTGCATGAACACTGTATTTGGTCCCTCAGTGTCATCATACTCATGAATAAGTTTTATTGTAGTCTGTTGTATTTTGTATTTATCGTGATTTTTGTTTAATTCCCTTCCTATCTTTCTTTAATCGACTTCAAAAAAAGTTCTATGTTTAACTGCATGTATTTTTTTAATGTTCTTATTCATTATCATCTTGACACTATATTCTAAATTATTTTATAAGCATTCGTATTTTTGAATCGATGTTCTAATAAAAAATTAACATCAACAAACTGTAAACGTAATACCAAAAAACCATATTACCAAAATATTTAATCCACATTTTAATTACATATTTTAATCGTCATGTAATTAATATCCTTAAAGTATTATTATTAATTAACCGACTCGGGAACTTCGTGTCACCTACAACGCCATCTATTAAAAGTAGTTTAAAGTAGTGAATCTCATACACCATTACCTACTTTAATTTTTTCGATTATTCTGTTGAACTATAGGATTTTCCGATGTTTTTCTTCCAAGTCTTTCAAATATACAAATGAAACAAAAAAATTCAAACCGGTCAAGCTGTTTTTGGGTTTCAGCAAGATTTTATATATAGATGTTTAATTTTTTTAGTACTAATACCAATTAAATAACAAAAGCAACTAACTTAAATCGTAATATAAATATCAGTACCCATAGTTATATTAAAACAAATTTCATTGCAATGCATTCTCTATATTATGACTTGTTCGCCTATGTCCATTTGTTGTCAGAAACCATTCATTTAATACATGTTTATTACATTACTTATTCGATATCAAATGAACTACCTTAAAGGTTTATCGTTTATTTAAATTTTGAAAGTACTAATGCCAGATAATAATCATCAAACTAAGGAAAATCCCCGTACTATGGATTTATTTGACCTAAGTATACAGTGTGTTTTTTTATTTATTTATGCAATAATAGCAGTGTTCATAGTGATATTTTCTATAGGTAACGGTAAATAATTACCACTTTACGTTAGGTTTCAATAAGGCGAGCTTGTTTGCCATTCAAACCGACAACAGGTTAAAAGCTCCTATCTTCTATTTAAAAAATTAATTATAGACAATTATACTAGTCTATGCTCGTTTTAGTTGACTAAATATTTTATATTTCATATATCATGAAATACCTACTTCAAGTAATTAATAGATCCACAAATTAAATATCCCATGTTTTTATTATGTTCATTAACAATGACTAATTCATCACATCGATTGTATCATGATTAGACAAAATCGAAAATTAATTTTAATGAACTATGAGTAATTTTTCAAATGGCATCATCAATTAAATGTCTAAAAATTGCAAGTTTAATATTATTTATTTTGAGGCATAAAAAAGTTAAATATTCAAATCTGCAAGTTACCTAAACGGTCTATATTACTAAATTATAATGTTCATTTATAACGACCAACTCTAATATTCATTCCAAAATTATTCGATTCATCAAATAGATTGCATCATGATTACACAAGATCAAGAATTAATTTTAATGATCTATGAGTCCTTTTTTAAGTGACATCATCAATGAAATGCCTAAAAAGTACCAGTTTTAATATTATTGACTTATAAACGTAAAAAAGTTAAATGCTCAAATGTGCAATGTAACTAAATGTTCTATATTACCAAGTAATAATGTTCATTAATAATGATCAACTCTAATATTTATTCGAGAATTATTCGATTCATCAAATATATTGAATCATGATTACACAAAATCGAGAATTAATTTTAATCAACTATGAGCCACGTTTAAGTGTCATTATCAATTAAATGTCTAAAAATTACCAATAGTATTTATTTTGAGGCCTAAAAAGTTAAATATTTAAATCTACAATTTACCTAAATGTTTTATATTACCAAGTTATAAGGTTCATCAATAACGACCAACTCTAATATTCATTCGAGAATCATTCTGTTCAATATATATATTGCATCACGATTACACAAAACAGAGAATTCATTTTAATCAACTATGAGTCACTTTTAAAGTGGCATCATCAATTCAATGTCTAAAAATTGCAAGTTTAATATTATTTATTTTGAGGCATAAAAAAGTTAAATATTCAAATGTACAATTTACCTCAATGTTCTATATTACCAAGTTATAATGTTCATTAATAACGACCAACTCATATATTCATTCCAAAATTATTCAATTAAATAGATTGCATCATGATTACACAAGATCAAGAATTAATTTTAATGATCTATGAGTCATTTTTAAGTGACATCATCAATGAAATGCCTAAAAATTACCAGTTTTAATATTATTGACTTTTAAGCGTAAAAAGTTAAATGCTCAAATGTGCAATGTAACTAAATGTTTTTTATTATCAAGTTATAATGTTCATTAATAACGACCAACTCCAATTTATTCGAGAATTATTCGATTCATCAAAAATATTGCATCATGATTACACAAGATCGAGAATTAATTTTAATGAACTATGAGTCATTTTTAAGTGACATCATCAATGAAATACCTAAAAATTCCCAGTTTTAATATTATTTATTTTGAGGCATAAAAAAGTTAAATATTCAAATATACAATTTACCTCAATGTTCTCTATTACCAAGTTATGTTTTTTAATAACGACCAACTCTAATATTCATTCCAAAATTATTCATCAAGTAGATTGCATCATGATTACACAAGATCGAGGATTAATTTTAATGATCTACGAGTCATATTTTTAAGTGACATCATCAATGAAATGCCTAAAAAGTACCAGTTTTTATATTATCGACTTTTAAGCGTAAAAAAGTTAAATGCTCAAATGTGCAATGTAACTAAATGTTCTATATTACCAACTTATAATGTATATTAATAACGACCAACATTAATATTTATTCGAGAATTATTCGATTTACCAAATATATTGTATCATGATTACACAAAATCGAGAATTCGTTTAAATCAACTATGAGCCACTTTTAAGTGACATCATCAATTAAATGTCTAAAAATTACCAGTAGTATTTATTTTGAGAAGTAAAAAAGTTAATTATTCAAATCTGCAATTTACCTAAATGTTCTGTATTACAAGTTATGTTCGTTAATAAAGACCAACTCCAATACTCATTCGAGAATCTAGATAACACATAATCGAGAATTCATTTTATTAAACAATGTCATTTTTGACATTATGTCTTAAATGTCTAAAAAATTTCCAAGCTTTAGAGATGTACAAAAAATTAAGACAAATACACAAATCCGTAAATTACCTAAATGTTCTATATACCCACGTTTACTTTAATGTTCGATTGATAATTATTTGATGATCACAGAAAATAGAAAATTAATTTTAAAGAATGACAAGTCATGTTTACAAGTCACATTAAAATTAACTTATTCCATGTAAATAATATTGGCTTTAGCTGTTTAAAATTAATACAAATGTTGTTTTCGAAATTTATCGCAAAATAAAATATTATAAATTTTAACTACTACAATTTCCGAATACAAACAGCATATAAATCAATTTCCCTAAAAAAGATGCAATTATAGCTGGCAGGTATGTGACGTCATAAGAGATGTAATAGTAAACCTATTTTATATAATAACAATCCTAAACTTCAATATAATCAACGTGATTCCTTTCGATTCATGGAACAAAATGCGCCAACTAGTTGTATATGGTTTAAGTGTGCACTATATTTCATAGGGTTTACAATGTAAAAGCTGGGTGAAAATTACTGCTACAGAAATATAGAACAAAAATTAAGATAAATACTGGTACCTAGCATATTATCTGTGCTTGTACTAAGCTCAATAAAATTAATCTCAACGAAATACCAAAATATCATTTCAGCGACTCAACAATCTTAATTTTTTTACTAATTAATCTAATATTGTTTAATCTAGGTCAAATATTTTCATAACTTTCATTATAACGATAAACTAATTAGCACAAATGACTGTGGTGTAAGATAGAGAAAGAGAGAGAAATATGCTCTATTTGAGCCACTTAGTCCAAGAATAAATAATCTGTATAGTACCTTATATAATATTTCATATGTTCCCTAAAACCCGACGGTGATACGATTTCCATGTTGGCATTTGATATAGGTAACAAATTTAAGAATCTTTTTTAAAACGTCCGGTTAAATCATTGGCGAATCAAATACCTAATGTCGTATCCATATTGGATAAGAATTTCCAATTGTTGTATTTATGAAGCGTTTGATATCCCAACAAATAATAATTATAATAAATTTAAGATAACTAGAAATAAGTGTCGACGAAGTTCATTCCTAAAATCATTACTACGAATAACTTCAGCGACTAAACAACCTAATTTTCATTACTATGTTAATTACTAAGTACTTACTTCCATTACTCCTTTCTACTCGCAAAGTTCACTCCTGTGTTCTTAGCTCTATATTGAATTTTAATGTTCCTTTGGACTTAATTACTTATTTTAATTAATATAAAAATATCTATATAAATAGTATCAATATAAAATTAATCAAAAATATATGACCTTTATTTATTATTTACTAATGAAAAGTTTTGTATTGGTCCGGGTGTTTTATGTATACGTTCTGCCTAAGTTGAGATTAAATATGGGTCTGCGTAATATGTTCAAAGGTAATTATTATTACTGACCAAAATTCTCAACAGGTACGTATTTATAATGCTGAAGCATTAATATTATAATAAACATTGCTTGCTCAAATTGGCAAATTCCTCAACACAAAAATCTAAAAGTGAATTACTTCTTCCAACAGTTACTTTTTGCACTTGTGTACTAGAAAATTTTAAAATTACTTTGGTAAAATATAAATATACTAATGCCCAATAATAGTTGTATGTTCATCTAATTAAATAAACAAAGGTTATCAATAAAGGGTTGTTAAGTCAAATATCAGATTTATTTTTGAAATTAAATATAAGTAATAAATTAATGCGAGAAAAATAGCAAAGTTTTATTTCTGTGAGATAACAAAATATATATTTTTTTCTATTTCTAGCTATCGACGTAGAAAATTCAGCAACCTGCCCGGACCCTCACGCCAACGTTAAAAGAAAACATCTGAAAATCAAATATGGAATGCAATCACGTACTTCTATGTTTTTATAACGATATAGATAACTGATTCTTATTTAAAATATAAGACGTGCAATAAAAAATATTATTAAGTAATATTTGCTAAAAAATATTTGAATAATTTAGTTTTATTTTATATAAAATAGGATGTTGTTCCTTTTATTTAGTTTTTCTGTAAACCAACTTTCAGAATTTTATCAACTCATTATTTGTTCTGTTCATGCTGGAGATCGTAAGCACTTGGTGGAATTTTTATAATCTCTTAATTCACCAACACCATCATTAATTATTTGCCTAAATATTAAATAACACTTCTTTAATGTTTTGGGTTTGTTTTTATAATTTAATGAGAGATAAAGTCCTGATCAAAATGTAAAAAAATAAAATCTTCAGAGGCACCCTCTGCAATTAATTATTATTATTTTCGAAATGATCTAGCTTAAGTTTTAAATTAGTATAAAATTATGGAAATTTTAGTGTAGGTTTAGCACACTTTGATTACCTACCGACGAATACGCGCATCTAGAGCTAGGTACCAACATAATCAAGTTAAGTACCGTCATGGTCGGGCGCCTAGGTATACTTGTAAGATGTATATGTGATTAGGTGGATACGTGTTGTCCGATAGAACCGGAGGTGAACCATTCTGGACCAGTCAATTACATAGCGAGTAACTAAATATTATTAGTACCCAATCCTGAAAAATTTGCAAATGCAATTATGATATCACTGCAGCATAATTTTATACATCTACAAGTATAAGGTATAATGTTGTCATAGATACAAAAAAAATTATAAAAGAAAAATATAATATTTCGAGAGATTATATACAATGTTTTCATATGATAATCATGATAAATATTTAGAAATCAAGGAGTATATGTATACTTATAGTATGTATGTACTTTAACTAGAAGTATAAAAAATAAATTAAATAATAGAGTAAGTAGATATGTTTTATAGACATAACCTAAAAAAAATATTCTAAGGGTATCCACTGATAAAATTTTTAACACAAATAGGAATAGTAACATATAAACAGTCATTTAAGTACTTAGGTGTCTACTTATTACCTATATCCTATAAATAGGCAGATTTTTTGTTTAACCTGACACAATTATATTGAGTGATGTCTTCCCCGACCCTACCAGTCTCAAATATGTCCATTGCCTATGTTTTTATTCATAGGAATGTTGTTTACACTTAAATCTGTTGGTAGGTATATACTTAAATACCTAAATTTTTATAGTATTATAGGTATGTATATTATAGGTAAATAGTTACCTACTTATTATTTCTATGTCTATTGCTTATCATACCTATGCAACTTTACGGTTTAGACGAAGGACTGACTGAATTTTTTAGGGTCCAAATAACGTAAATCAATACCTAGACATAAATAATTACCTATGTTACATATGCTCATCAATTATAAATACCAATACCTAATGGCAAATAACAACGCCCCTAAGGGTGTCCACAAAGTGCCTTAAAAAAGTGCCTCGATTGATTACACATGTATATTACTCTCGAACCATTATATATCTACTAAAAAATATTAACCATATATCGTATTAATACTAAACCTATATTGTACTTGTAAATAAATAGGCATCGAATTTCTGAAAAGTATATGATGTAATTTGCCCGTTTATATATTAATTATACCAAATAACTTTAAACGTAAACTCAGCACAAGATAACTAGATACCAACGTATTATACCAAATTTGGTATTAAAATCAGATACTGTTACGTGTATGTACTTTTAAGAGAAAACAACCTATAAGAATATTCACTAAAAAAATTTAAAATGCCTATAAAGTTTAATAAACAATTACGGTACATACCTTTTGTTCATTGATATTTATGTCCAATTTAAAATATCATGGTATTTCAACTTATTGCGCAGTTCACCTCGCCAGATTATGACGCCGCCATTTTGTAATGAGTTTTCGCCTTCTTTATTTTGAATAATAGTTTATCTTCTCTTGTAATCATTTCTATAAACCTTTTGTTTCTTATTGACTATATTTTTAACAAAACTTTCTATACTTCTGAACATCTTAAAATAAGAAAATGATATTCCTAATGATAAACCTTCTAACTAGACGTTTAGAATTGGTATGTGGCTGAAAATGACGTGGCCGCCTTTATATAGCCCGTCGTCATTATTGATCCACGATTTTATGCTACAAAATAAAGATTAGCATGGTAACATGACTCATGGTACGGTACTAACTGATATTTTATTTAGTAGTATAACACTTTTCTAGAATTTTCCATGACACACTAAAGTGAAATGCAAATATGTGTAAGAAAGAGATGCGAAATATTCTAGAACCATCTGCGTTGTATAGATTTCTGATAACCAAAAAATATAGGATTGTCAAGCAAAAATGTTAATTTTGTATTAGTTAATAACTGTATTTTTATATGTATATAAATTTAAGTCCAGAAATTTATACTTCTATAGATATTCAGTTATAATCTCTTAGCTAATAATATCTGCTAAATGTCTGCATTGTTAATATTAATTTACTATTTATTTTACCATCATATATTTCCATTAGATTTTATTAATGGAATAACTTGAAATCCTAGATTACTTATGTATAGTGTGTGTCCTGATTTTTTGTATAAAAAATTAAACAAACAAAGACACACACTTCAAAATCAACCTTCAAGCCGATTAAAATCATGCAAAAGTACACCTATCCCCCGATTTACACGGTACTTGTTTTACACGTTTTCGCTTTTACACGGTTTTCCAAATAAGTTTTTTTTTTTTTGTTTTTATCGCACTCTACTAAATGCTAAAATCGAAATTTTGGATCGCTTTGGATCGTTTAATGTATTGTAATTAAATAAAAAAACAGTGTTTCCGTAATATATTACATATTTTAACCCGTCAATGCATTTTATTTTTATTTCTGTGTACACGTAAAAATATTGAAAAAAATCACAACTGTTAAATAGCAAAATTATGCATTTTCTGCAAGCTTTTCGATTTACACGGTTTTGACTTGAAAATTTTTAATTTTCGATTTACACGTTTTTCTCAGGAACGTATCTACCGTGTAAATCGGGGGATAGGTGTATTCTAATTCATACAGAACTAAGTCTCTTCAGCATCAAAATTCATCAAAATCGGTTAGTAGTTAAAGTAATCAAGTTTTCGTTTTACTCCATAGGATTATAAATTTTTCAAGTCTAATATTTATTCAACGTCAAATTTTATTAATCTTTATTTGTAGCTATTTCCCCCAGGAATGAGACATTTTCTCTGGATAATAAGTACCTACCTACCGTATAATTTGACTCCGTTACTAAGTCCACCCTATACAATATTTCATCAAAATCTGTCTATAAGTCTTTGCGTAGAGAAAAAACAAACTAACAATTTCAAAGTTGTCTTGATATTAAGTCGATGAGTCTCCCACGTTTTTAATAAATAATAATAGAAAAATGACCCCGCTTATACTGACAAAATCCAATGAGGAATAAAATAGGATAAAAACAGGTCAGTTGATTCATTGTGACAAATTCATCATTACACACATCACATTATTAACCAGGATGATTTCCATGGAGATCACAAGAAGACGACCTGATAGATTATATTGTTAGCGATGGGAGTCTCCTACGTACGTTGAATGAAGAAAGGCCGAATATCGTAAACCCGAACACAAATGTCTAAAGATTCAATATACCAATGCAATGCATCAAATCGAGGGAAAGGGATTATTAGTAATGGTGTCTAATGGCCCAATTATTACTTTGTTTAATATTAGTAAGTGGGAACGGTTTTGCTGCTATATTATCTACCTCAGGGTACCTGACTATATTAATTATATCATCAAATCTTTATCACCATTTCTCTATAGATTATAGTTGAGAGTTTGTGGAATTCAATATGTCCGAACTCGGTTTTATGTTATTTTATTGTTATAATTAATTTTAATTTTACTGATATTGTGATACAAAGAGGTCAAAGGTGATATTTTCTAGCAGCCAATCTGTGTGATATAGGTATATGTGACAGATATAGCCGATGGTGGGCTTCCAAAAAAAGTTGTCTTACCAACAGACTACAAACAGTGTGTTATAGACCTACTCTCAAAAAGGCTAAATTAATGTCTATATATTAATAAAGTGTTTGGTAGCCTCTAGTTTCAGAATATCGTAATTGCAGCATCTAGTCAAGGAACATACAGAATTGCAAATTCTGAAAACCACAAGACGTAACTAAAAACCATCCCGATTAAACTTGTTTTCAAATAAGGTAAAAACCGTATTGAAGTCTGTCTGTAGACCGAAATTGTAGATCCATTAACTTAAAATTCAAAATTTTTTGATAAGCTCGTGAAAATCACAAACCGCTTTCTTTGTTCACTTATCCGCATAAATCCTCAGATTAACTCCTTTAATTCGAATAATAAAGACTTCAATAGCAATAATTTATTTAAATAGAAAATTTATCTTTGAATATTACTGCACTTAATATTAAAAGTCATGTTGTGTAATGAAATTGAGCAAGATTATTAAAATATTTTAAATACACAGTCGGGACTTAATGCAATGTAAATAGTATCTACATAGTTAAAAAGTTAAGTCCTGATTGTGTGTTTAAAATATATGTAAACAACGCGAAAGATTAAAATAAAAAAAATACTGTAGAAAACTTCAAATACGTTTATTTCAAATCATTTTAATAAAATGAACATGACACGACAGAAATAGGACTAGCGAGTAGTTTAAAGAGATTAATCTTAGACTATAAGATAAATGTATAAAACGTGATTACGTGCAATTTTTTTTAATTTTATGTTTCTTTTCCTAATTGAAGCTATGTTTATATTCTGAGGCAGTGTCAACATTTAAGTAACTAAGTTCACTTAAATTTAAACACAAAGTTTATTTATATTTAGATGAAAACGTAAAAATAATTTAGAATTTATTTTGTTTGTCGTCAAAACTTTTGAATTTATACTGTGTGCATGAATTTATCCGTCTATCTATCTATTTCTAATATACATGCCAATATATTTTGTTTGACGTAGACTACTTCATAATCTAAGATTCAACTACTTCCTTATTTTTAATCTATGCTAGTAATGTTATTTATCTGAGACAGTCTTGAGTCAGTTTGACAACTGACGGTAATGTCAATAAGTCAATCCATCAATAAACGTAATTTTATCGTTTCTGATTGTTAATCGAAAAAGGCGGGAAACTCGAATAAGAACAAGCGGGTTTTTTAAATTTTTTTTTATTAATTTATTAAAACTATCTCTATCAATTCTTATTATTGAATAAAATATTATATTCTCACTAAATTCAGCGACAGTAATATAATTAGCATTCATGGGGAAGCGCAGTTGTAGAAAAAGGAAAAAAAAGATGACGATTCAGGTGATGTAGACCATGAACCTTGTAATGACAAGGATATATATTCGGAAGATACTTCTACTGACTCAGAATCTGAAATTGATAAGGCCGATAAGTATAAACCTTACTACGTCACAGATTATATTAGAAGATATCCCGAGGAATCCCCTGGGACAGAATTTGTTGTCTTTGTAGAATCCTCAGATAGTCAGAAAACCATTGGATCCAGAGACTTGCTCTCACTCTCCTCCTGTTTAAAACGATTTAATAAAGGGGTAACTTATCTTAGATCTATAAATAAATTCAAAATCGGAGTATACTTTCAAAAGCCAGACTTAGCCAATGCTTTTTTAAATAATAAAACTTTTTTAAATGACTACCATTTTAAGGCCAGTATTCCTGCTTCTTCAACAGAAGTTACAGGCGTTATTAGAAATGTACCTACAAATATATCAAATAAAAAAATATATACTATGATATCGAGTTCTAAGAAAATTATTGCTATTAAAAGAATTTTAAGAAAAAATACCTTGACTCATGGATATGTGTTACAGCCAACTCTAACCGTGACAATTACTTTTGCTGCATCTGTATTACCTGAATATCTGGATATTGGAGGTTGGCGCCACAATGTCACTCCATATATACCACCAGTTAAACAATGCTACCGGTGCTTGAGGTATGGACATTTAGCTAAATTCTGTAAGAATTCTGAGCGTTGCAGCATCTGCAAAGGTGAGCATAATTATAAAACTTGTACAACTGGAATGGAAAACGCTATTTGTGTACACTGCAATGGAAATCACACAAGTGTATCACCGCAATGCCCTGTTAAACAAAAGAAAATTGCTGAAAATAGATCTAAATTCAGACCTGCTTCTTTTGGAGATATACTTAGCACTGAAATATTTCCTAAACTGGGTAACAAACCTAAAAAAAATGTAGACCTAATTTCAATTCTAAATTCTGATAACAAGAGTTTATCACTTTTAATAGAAAGCATAATCAAACTTATTTCACTACATAACACAAAGAACACATCTATTAACACTAAAAGTGTTTTGAATGTGTTATATGATACTTTTGGTAATAGACCTATTTCACAAAATTCAATCGAGACCAATTAACTATCATACAGTGGAACGCTCAGAGCCTACTGAGCAATCGACATATTTTTACACAATTTTTAAATGAACATCATATTCACATTGCTCTCATCTCAGAAACTTGGCTAAAACCACATTACAAATTAAAAATTAAAGATTATTGTATAGAACGAAATGATTGTGGTAATAACCACAATGGAGTAGCGATTATTATACATAATAGTATTAGATATAAAAAACTTCACTCTTTTTTCGACAATTCTTTGCAAACTATAGCTATTAGTATTGAAGTTAATAATTCTTGGTATTCAGTTGCCAGTATTTACTGTCCTACCAATAGTACACCTAGTTTTACTAAAGCCAAATTTAAGTTCTTTTTGGAGTCTCTTCCTAAACCCACTATCATATCTGGAGATTTAAATGCACATCATACTATGTGGGGTTGTACCTCCACTAATACAAGAGGTAAAGACATTCTTGATTGTTTAGATGAATGTAATTTGGTACTATTAAATGATAAGCAAGTTACTACTGTTGGCTCTCATATTTGGAGACCCAATGGCCTTGATTTAACTATGGTATCCCCATCCATATCATTAAAATGCGAGTGGTCGGTTCATGATGATCCGTTAGGAAGTTATCACCTGCCGACTTTTACTAAAATAAACACAAAGAACTCTTCATCAACTCCGTCAGGTGAACAACATGCTCCTATAGATGAAGTTAATAAACTTTTGTTAAATCGTATAAACCTACGTCTCGTTAATTGGGATCTTTATTCTGAAACTGTTAATCGATTACTTTTGGATTTCGAGTATGATGTCAATGAACCCTTAAACAATTACAATAGATTCTGTAAAATTATTTTGACAGCTGTGGAACGTTCCGTTCCACGTAGGAACTTATCAAATAGCGGTGCAAATACTTCAAAGAGGCACAAACATATTGCAGTACCTTGGTGGAATAACAGGTGTGCGACAGCTGTCAATGATAGTAAAGCGGCTTACCTTAGGTTTAAACAAAATCCAACTCTCGATAATTACATAAATTTTAAAAGAGTTCAAGCTGTTAAAAAGTTAGTAATTAAGCAAGTAAGACAACAGGGGTGGCAGGAATTTTGTTCCAAATTTAATAGATTAACACCAATTTCCACTGTTTGGCAAAATATGAGAAAACTAAATTCAAAACATCGTCAAAATCATTTTAAAGATATATCATGGGTCAATGATTTTTTACGCAAATATACTCCTGATTTTGTACACTCACCTTTTGATGACAAACAGTTTAATTCTGTTAATTCATGCCCAAAATTTCTCACTGACCCATTCTCAATTGATGAAATATCCAGTGCAGTAAAATCTAGAAAAGATACAGCTAGTGGCCTTGATCGCTTAACATACAATATGTTTCGATTGCTGAATAAAATAAACCTTACTAAACTCTTACAAATTTTTAACGATTTATGGAAGGACTGTATTATCCCACCAGAATGGAAAATGGATTGTTTGATTCCAGTAATTAAACCCGGTAAAGATCCTACAAATTTCGACTCCTATAGACCTATAACATTGACGTCCTGTGCAGGCAAATTATTCGAACAATTAATTAAACAGCGTTTAGAGTTCTTTATTGAAAGTAATAGTATATTACCATCGAATCAATTTGGTTTTCGCCGTGGATATTCAGCGCGCGAAAGTTTAGCGAACTTCTATGTCGACCTTAGTACTGCTTTGAATAACGATGAATATGTTCTATCTGTTTTTTTAGATGTCGTAGGAGCTTTTAACAATGTAAATTTAACAGTTCTATCTTCGATTTTATCCTCATTTCTTCCAATGAAACTTATCGAATGGATTTATAATTTTCTTAGTAATAGAGAAGTGTATGTTAAAGTAAATAGTAAATTAATAGGACCTAGGTTAAGCTCTAAAGGAGTATGTCAAGGTGGTATTCTAAGCCCGCTACTATATATTTTATATATCTATAAACTTAATTCAATTTTAGGAAACAGTGTGAACAACTTGCAATTTGCCGATGATTTATTAATTTATATAAAAGGAAAGAATATTATTGATATGCAATTAGTGTTAAATGAGTCATTAAAAAGACTTGAGAAATATTTTTCTCTTCTTTCCCTCGATATTAGTTTAACCAAAAGTAAAGTAGTTGTTTTTCATCAAGTTCATAAATATGTTCCATTAATGAATATTATATATAATAATCAAACTCTTCCAACAGACTGTAGCGTTAAATTTCTGGGGGTAATTTTTCATCAAAATTTAAAATGGGATCTATACGTTGATTGCTTAGTAGATCGTGCTTTAAGAGCCACTAATATAATAAGATCTGTAATTGGTCGTAACTGGGGAGCTGATCCTAAAATTATCCTTTTACTTTACAAATCTCTTGTTAGAAGTAATTTTGATTACGCTTTCTTTTGTTATGCCTCAGAACATAAATTAGTAGAAAAACTCGAAAAAATTCAAAATATGAATTTAAGACTTATTTTAGGTGCTATGTATACTTCTCCAATTATCTCAATGCAAGTAGAATGTAATTTGCCTCCTATCCTTCTTCGTTTCAAATATCTAAAACTCAAATTTCTCTTCAAAGTTTTTTCAGTTTCCAATAACCCACTCATACTCAAATTATTAAATTGCCCCATTTCTATGTTTTTGAATAAAACTATTGTCAATGATTTGAATTTACGAGATGAATATAACATCTATAGTAGTAAGATACTTCCTTGTTATAATGGCCTTTATGAGAGTAAGTTCTGTAAGATCAAAATTGTTATACGTAAAGACATAAAAGAAAAGCACGATATGTATGAGACTTTATCAGAATTTATTGACTACAGGCAGATATATACAGATGGTTCCAAAAATGCACTTAGCACTTCAGTGGCTTTTTACGATTTGTCAAATAGATTTGGTCACGGTTATAAAATTTCAACTTTGGCTAGTATTTACACAGCAGAAGCAAAAGCTATATTTTTAGCATTAGAATACATAGAAAAACAGGTACTATATTCGAAATGGATTATAATTACAGATAGTATGAGTGTTCTTATGGCATTAAAAAATAACACATTCATTTCATCATCAAACTACTTAATTCAAGAAATTCGTAATAAATATTATCATCTCTGTACTATATATGGAAAAGATATTATCTTCATCTGGACCCCTTCACATATTGGAGTGTTTGGGAATGAACAAGTAGACACTTTGGCTAAAATTATTAATTCAAGTGCTGCTCGTGTTCAAGATTTATCCCTTTGTTACTCAGATTGTAGTATTGGAATACATAAAATCGTTACAACTAAATGGGAGGAGCATTGGACTCAAATATTACAGACTAAAGGCAAATGGTACCGCAAAATTAATTGGCGTATTGGAAAACCGTGGTTCTGCAAAGGAAAGGACACAAACAGAAAATTTTACACCAATATTTGTAGATTACGAATCGGCCACGGACATTTCAACGAACACCTGCACCGAATGGGCATGATTGCTTCCCCATCATGCACATGGTGTAACTCAAATACAGCCCAATCTCTACATCACCTTTTTTTTGATTGCTCTGAATTTGTCATTCAAAGACACATTATGTTTGACGAACTTAGGATTATCTTCAAAAAACCCGAAAATATCCCGCACTCAATCCCGATTCTCTTAAGATTTCCTTCTTGTTTCAAAGCTATTTTCACTTATATTACTACCACATTCAAGGAGCTATAAGAATACTTTTATTGAATTGCAAGACAATGATTTTTTATAATTATTTATTTTTAATTTGATAAATCCACTGGTTTAAGAAAACTCAAGAAAAGATATTTATGAAAATGTACTTACCGGATTTGACAAATGAAATATTGAAGATTATGACAATAATTGAAGCGACATTAGAAAAATAAAATTCCAGACAAATTATCTTTTTGAAGACTAGGCAGCATGGTCTCCGACCTTAGCCTGTTCCAAACGGAACAAACGTACTAAAAAAAAAAAAAAAATGATTGTTAATCTGTCAGTGATTCTAACTCAGTCAGCGTCAATCAATCATCATTGGTATTGTTTAACATTTCTATTTGTACTGTGGAATATTTTGTTTGTTCCTTCAATTTTGTATTCGATATAGGTGTAGGTATTGGATTCATATTATCTAATCACAACGAGTATAGCTTCGATTACTGTAAATCATACTAACGTACCACCTTATACTGATTATTTCACTATAGGTCTCGACTATCGAGACTCGTGTGATTCAATAAATCGTACAATAAATGTGTGATTGAATTTATTTTCTTCAACATAGTGCGTTGAACGTAAAACCATTTTATGATATTATACGAAGTGTCATTAACAGATTCTGTGGGTTTGAATGATTTTATTTTGTGACAAAAATATAAAAGGTTTTTAAGCTTATGTATTAATTATATATAATCAATAATGGCACCGAATTATAGCAAACTTATTGAAAGGACAGATGTGAGAATTGCTCTAGCTGCTTCTACAGCTCTAACGGCCTGGTATATCAGGAACTACTACAAGTCAAGGTAAGCACAATTTATTCTATATTTATTATTATTGACTAAAATGAATATTCTTGTTATATTTGCATATTGTATATATGCACAATATAAATATTAAGAATATATGCATAGAGATGCATTATTGTTTAAAATTTGATATAAGTTCTAATTATATTCTATTCACTGTATTATTCTTTAAATTATAAAAAGCCAAATTTTATAAACTAATAATAAAATAAGAGTTTATTTAAAACTTTTCCTTAATTATAACTGTATCCACTTAAAAATTAATATAAATATGTTTTATGTTAGTCTGCATCTCATATAGTATGTGTATTCTAAGTTTCTTAATGATTGATTAAGCCGTTTAGGTACTGTAAAGTAACAAACTCATCTTCACATCTATAATATTAGTAAAGATATAATTAATTTGTTTATTTTTTTATCTTTTCAATTGACATTTGTTTAGAGATTATTTTATTTTGTAGTTCAAGTTATTGTAACTTTTGGAAACTCTTAAAGTCCAAACTAATCTATGGACTATGCAATAGTCTTCTTTATATTGAACTAGTAAACTCATGCCTTTAAATATAGGTTGTAAGAAATATATAAATTTATTTATCAATAATCACCATTCTTTTTAATTTGTTATAAGAATTTACTATCTTAATCAAATGTATAAAAATGGAATGTCATACTCATTAAAGTGAAGTATTATTCTTTTATGGTCAGAGACCTAAACAATATAATATTTTATTAAATACTAAAATTCCAATGACTTTTAAAATTTAATTTTTTCTCAAAAAAAAAAAATCTTCATCAGAATTACTTAACTAAATAATTTTTGGCAATTCCTTTTATGCAGTCTTTTCCTTTTCAAAATAATATCCCCCATGTTATCCATTCAATGCTTATAATATGCCATAACAGACATCGTAAAATGTAATTTTAATTCCTATTTTGACCACGTTTTAAATATGAGAATGCAAACCAGATATGTTAAATACAGTGATTAATTTAGAAGAGTAATAAACTAATTTCACAGGTCAATTAAACATAGGAAATTAAAAATTTTATTCACTTTACCTGATTGGACATGGAGTTTATATGACGGCCCTATTATTTTAGTAAATGCCTTATGTCCATATTGTAAATGGGCCGTATGCTTCTTTGCCACCATTACAATTTAAAAAAGTAACAAAATTAAAATGTTTACCAAACACTGAAGGGGAATATTGGGAACAACTGTAATAACTTTAGGTCCTCACTGTTCACAGTAAACATAGCAGAAGCAAAGATGGCAGACTGGTCAGACTGTCTCCAGAAGAACAAATACAATATATGATTAAAGAAAAAACAAAAAAGGAACCAAAAGGGAAAGTAGATGCAAGGTTTTGGGCAGATCTGAAGGTATTATGGAAAATTATGTTCCCTGGTTTATGGTCAAGGGAGAGTGGTTTGATGGTGCTCATAGCAGTATCTCTTATTTCAAGATCCATTTGTGATCTATGGCTTATACAGCATTCAACCTTAATTGAAGGGTAAGTAGTTTTAAAGGCAGTATTATTATATCAATGTACCAAACTATTCCGCAGCATTACCTATATATGTTTATTCTTTTCAAGAAGTTCATAAAAAATGTACATAAACAATTTTTCCACATCCCTAAAACAATCAGTGACAAAAATAATTTAATCTTAAAATATAAACTTAACTACTGCTATGTATTGTATGCTAATATATTTGAATTATTTAATGAACTGCCTTGTCATTGGTTGTTTTAATTATCTAAATGAAGTTACACTTAAAAATGGAAGACATTTTGTTTTTTTAAATTGCTCACATCTTTGAAATTGTAATTTAGTATAAAAAATTATTTTAATTTTATCCTTGCTCAATTTTTGTTTACAAAGAGCTTAACATAATTTTTTATTACAGATCCATTATTTCAATGAATTTACCGGACTTCAAGAGATTACTAGTACAATTTTTCATAGCCATGCCAATGGTAAGTTTTAAAAGTTTTCATTGCTTATATATTTAATGGCTCTTCACTTCAAACCTTTTAAGCTGTAACTAAATAAAACTTAAGGTTATTATATGTCATTTATTGTTATATAAAAAACTAGCTATAAGAGTATTTTATTCTTATATTTGTCCAAAATCTCTACTCCTAGGAAAGCAACTATGTCCTTGAGTGGTGTGATATGCAGCTTTGTATATACATAAAAGATTATGTATGAAGATTATGTACCTATTACAAATAACTTGGATATTCACCTATACAATTACATTATTATCTTTTTTAGCTCAGCTTCACATAAGTGCAAATTGTACAGACAAACCTTTCATTAAAAGTATCTAAATGTCAATGAAACTTATATTTAGTCTATAGCAGATAAACACAGACGTTTATACTATTAAAATAAATATTATACAATATAGAATTTATTTTATAAACTGCATAACTGATGATTAAATTGAGTAACGAATTGTGTTTGTTTAATTGAGTATGAATAGACTCACATATAGGCTACGGTAACTGCTTCCTATCAGGTGGGTCATATGCTTGTTTGCCACCTCAGTGGTATTAAAAAATATGGAAGGAAGCAAAAGTGGTATGTTTGAATCTGAACATTTGTTTTGGTACTGTTTCTTTATGCCCTAGCATACATATTTAGATTAATACAATTTATAATAAATATAGTAAGATAAAGTATTTTAAGTCTCCCATTACACAAATCTTATATTTATCTCTCATTCCCGCAGGAACTTCCAAAAATTAGAACAATTGATTCCTCAATATTAATAAAAAAATTAAATATTTCGAAACATAGGCTTAGACAAATTTTCAGATTTACTTTGCTTATTTATACACCTATTATGACAAATATTTATATAATCCACTTGTTTTCAGATATCTTTAGTAAATAATGTACTAAAGTGGAGTATAGGAGAAGCAAAATTGAGAATTAGGACCAATTTGACATTGCACATGTATCAAGAATACTTGAAGTGAGTATTATATTGATTTACTATTGTTATTGAAAAAATACCTTGTTAAGCTGACTCCCGGAAACCATTGTGGTTAATTCATCACAACATTCCAATTGATATAACTTCATCCTCTTGTCATCGGTCTCTGAGTGCCCACAGCGTAAATCAATAATGCAGGCAAACTTACTGGTCCATTTTGATCTCATAAAAAACCCTAGGATCCCATTTCAAAAATAATTATTTAATATTTTCACAAATAAAAAAAAAAAAAACTAACAGTATTTATATGAGACATCGTCGTAAACTGTATTTATTTATTAGATGCACAAGACAGCTTTACAACAAAATATTTTTAACAGCATCAATACAGACTATGTGTCATGGCAAGTTGCAAAGCCAGATATAAGTATATACCTATAACAATAGTACATTGTGAAAAGAATCATCGAAATCGGTGAAGAATTGGCTAAAATATTATATTATACACAAGAAGTATTACACAATTTTGTAACATTTCGGAAACATAAAAAATACGGTCAAATTTCGAACTCCCTTTTCGAAATTCGTATAACAGCAGTAAAAGTATTAAAAATTGGTATTTTCTTTTATCAAAGAATCAGGTTTTATTTTATAAATATTTAAAATCTCTGCGACCTACCTAAATATATGTATATGTTCGGTATTCATAGATAAGACCTTATACATAATTAATTACCCCGAATCAAAGTTCAAATCGTTTGCCTATATTTTATATAAACTATATATTGAAGTATAGATAGCTACATTGTTGATTGTACATTATATAGATAAAGAGTAGATTTTTTTTAATGGATGACAATGAAATGGTAAACCACGCCCGTGCTAAGGGTATACACCGGCGGGGCACCAGTGAGAGATGATAAGTGAGGATGAAAAGGCAGGTCAATTAGCCCATTGGATGAATACACCTAGAATTCAGCACGATGGTTTTCAGGGTGGACCATATAGAGGTCGACCTGGTGGGTATATTGCTAGCGATTGGGCTCTTAGTCTCCATTTCTAACAATGCCCTCCCCCCTCCCTTCCCCCCATAAAGAGAAAGTTGGTTTACCTAAATTCTACTTTTTTACTGACTTTACTCTTATTATTTTAATATTTTATTACTTAAATAATGCCTTTATTAAATTGATAAAAGTGATAACTCCATCCGCGCTGTATGCCACAATCTTTCAAGCCGAAACTATAGTCATAATAAGGCGTGTAGAACAGAATCTAAAACTTTAACTATATAAATAATAGTATATTTATTTACTAGTCAAGCTGCATTACTTGCACTTATACGAAATTAAGTCAAAGCTTATAAACAACTGCGTAATGTTATTAAATGCATTGGGTAGCATAAAAAAACATTATCTTGAAATGAATCGATGGTCACTGAATTATTCATAATATAATATAATAATAAAATACCTATCATTGAAAGGATTTAGCAGCGAACTTTAAAAAAGGGCGAGCACAAATGATCATGGAAAGGTCGCAGTGTCTCAGGTTTTTTTGCCTGAAAAACGGAAAAGAAAGGCGTCTTTCAATAATAATAATAATACTAAATTTCATAACTTTTGGCTGAGCCACTAAAAGGTTTTCAAACGCACAAACACAATTTCACAATTTTTATAATAGTACTCGTTGTAAATATATAATTAGACAAATTATCGTATAACGCACATTTAAAAATATACAATCTAATTAAGACCTCATCTTTTAGAAAAAATAAAGACATTTAAAAAAGTAATTGCTAGACGCATCCATATACAGTGCAGAGAGAAAGTTGTCTGACCTCGAAAACGAAGCACTAATTGCGGTTCAGTGCAAAGTTTACATTGTTAACGAATCTTATTGTATTTATGCACGCTATCATATCGACACATATTTGTAATCAATAAAGTAAACGTTTATAAAATTAATGGATAAAAGGCAATGTCCAATACCTACAAATAGAAACAAAACAACTGAAATATGTGATTGCTATCAGAAAAGACGTCAATTTTCCTGATTTTTAGGGTTTAATACCAAAATAGTACAAAGTTGACTTTGTCTATCCCTCTTTTTATAGAGCTGTATCTCAGTGACTGTTAGTGTGACTCTGTCTATCCCCTCTTTTTATAGAGCCATATCTCAGTGACTGCTAGTGCGACTTTGTCTATCCCTCTTTTTATAGAGCTATATCTCAGTGACTGCTAGTGCGACTTTGTTTATCCCTCTTTTTATAGAACTATATCTCAGTGACTGCTAGTCCGACTTTCTCTATCCCCCTTTTTATAGAGCTATATCTCAGTGACTGCTATGCAACTTTGTCTATCCCTCTTTTTATAGCACTATATCTCAGTGACTGTTATAAATTTTACATTTGGTATAGTTTTATTATTACTATTTATTATAGATCCGCCAAAAAATTACTTATTTTACTAAGAAATTACTAACAAATTGACGGCCTGCATAAATAACATATTTAAAAACGCAAAACAAATACAAGAAAAATTATTGAGAAGTTAATAACCCTAAATTTTAATACCTACAAATAAAGTTATATATGCATTAAATATATTTTTATATATTAAAATTTAGCACAAACTAAACAAACATGGTTGAAAATATTTTTTTTTTTTAATTCAAACACTGGTTGTAACTTCAGAGAGAGAGAGAGAACTACTTAACGTACCCTAAGAAGCGTACGTTAAGTACGTAAGTTAGCCCGCTACTTAAAAAAGTAAGTGCAGATTTCAGATGTAGGTAAACCAATGTAGTAGATCATTTCTAGGTAGCGTGTCAAAATAAAACATATACCAATTTTTAAGTTTAATTTTCAGGAACATAGCAGTGAAAACCGCGTTTAATTTAGTAGATATTTTTTGCGTGATGCCGAAACAAACTTAAAAATAAACAAAAGTTCTAAAAATTACTGTCTTCTATTGCTTCTATTAAAAACCCTTTAACCCTTCTTTGCATGATTTTTTTTTATTGGTGAAATCAAAGTCATATAATCAAAGTGATATAATTCATGTTTAAAATTAAAGGAAAAATGGTTAAAACAATAAATTTGACAGCTATATATATTTTTTTTTCTGCAATGAACATTAAAAAATTATCAAGACACAATCAACTTAAAGTGAACTTGGTCTTTTATATAAGTTTTAGGCATTCAGTGTTATGATGGACATTTCTACCAGTATGCAAAGAAAGGTTAGTATTTTTTGTTTAAATATCATCCATGTGCAGACATCGACCACTTATGATTTTTATAATATTATAATTATAAAATTATAATAGTCTTGTAATTGTCTTGTCAATTGTGAGCAAATAATTTCGAGCAAGTAATATGTTAATACAAACTTTGGATAGGACTTCGACCGGTCTCTCAACTCGGAAGATAAGAAGACAAACCTTTCGATGGTTTGTTTAACGAGACTCGTACAATAGAGGCATTGTTTAACCTTGGTACGTGAAGACCCTAATGTTTATGCATTTCATCATAGATTTACTCTATTCGTATATGATTTTTTTTTTTACAAAGTCACCTATACTTAATAAACAACTATGCCAAGTTTCAGATTTACAGCAATTTTACCCAAATTTACCTTATGACTAAATTAATTTAATTGGGTTTAATTAGTTTAATATATGTAGGTATAAGGTGTAGAGCCTTAAAACCAAAGTGTGGCAACACAAACTATATGGAAAAGTAAGATATTTTTATTTATTTATTGCACCAAAAACGTAAAAATATATAATACAATGACAATTGACAAATATAAATACAACATAAAGTAGAAATCAAATAATATAATAATAATTAGCTATATAGGTTAAAAATATTAAAAAAAAGTAGAGTTCCTTATGAAAATTACAATAATGTAACCCAAGGTATCAACAATTGTATTATTAAAGCTAAGAAATATACTTTTAGCTTCCCAAAGGTTGACTGTAAGAGATCCTTTTATTGGATAAATCCGACATTGTATATAATTTTTTTTTTAATGTATCCCATGTACATTATGTACAATAAATATTTTACAACAATAACGACAAAATACCAATTTATCTTTCTAGATAGATACTCACGCGAAGCCCAGTTAAATCAGTAGTATTCAATATATTGCTTTTGAAATTTCAAATACTTTTTTCCATCAGTATAAAAATGATTGCGTGATTGCCATTTTAATTCCTTAGAGCATTTATTAAATATATCAATCAAAAATAGATAATTACGTTAGATTATGAACCATTAACGCTTAGATATTAACGCTCTTAATATGAATAGAAAAACATATATGCTTAGGTATGAACGATATCTCTCTTTTGGAAAATTCACTTTATATTGTGAGGAGATAAAAAACATTGCTGCAAAAAAAAAAAAATCTTAAAATTCCTATCACTGATAAAAATTAGCGGCGGACTTTAGAAAAGGGCAAGCACAAAAGATCATGGAAAGATCGCAGTTTCACAGGTTTTTTCTGCCTAAAAAAGCCCATCTTTCAATAATAATAGTAGATAAGAATGCTCTTAAACAGTTTTTAGAAAATCACCATAAAAACGCTGTGAAGTTTCCAATGTTTATGACATATTGCACCATTTATTTTATTACACAATAAATATTGCGGTATTAATAAATAAATATTAAATGCGTTTTCAAAACATTTGTTTGATTTCCTTGACTTGTAGTGTACATCGTAATCTATCAGCATACATGTACCAGGCGTTAGAAAAATGGATTGTTGAAAAACGGATAAAACACGAGATCAGTGCAAGGACAAAGAGTTTTGGCGTTCGATTCTCTGCCGACCCCGTAAACTGACTCGAATTTTAAATGTATTAATTAACAAAATATATGTGCTAATATAATAAAAGTGAAGAGTTTCTTTGAACGCATACATATCTGGAACTACCAGTCGGATTTGAAAAATTCTTTTTAGATTTCATATCTCATTTCTTGAAGAAGGTTATAGGTTATTTAATATAACAATACGACTATGGACAAAGCCGCGAGATAAAGCTAGTGTTGAATACTATATAGCATTAAGGCCGCCTTGTGTACTATTCATGTTTTGTAATGTGGTAAATAAATAAATATGTAGGTTCAGTATAAGGAAGCAAAAGTATATCGTACAATATTTTATTTATTTTTACGCAAGAATTGTTTTTAAAAAATTACCTGTGTTTGTATACTAAATTTAATGCAAATCCGTATAAGCGTAATTGATTAATAAATTGGTGGATGGATTACGTTTAATTAGTTCTTGTACTGACCTTGTTAATTAATTGTACATTGAGTCTTGTTTTTGTTTTATTAATATTACGTATCACGCAAAAACTACTGCACCAAATTAAATGCGTTTTTCACTGTTACATTCCTGAAGGTCTTTTTTTTTTTATAACACAAAGGTAAACGATCATACAGCCTGTCTGATGGTAGACGGCTACTGTAGTTTATGGACGCCTATAACACTAGGGGTGTCAACGTGCGCGTTGCCGACTTTGAAGAAATCTTAATATACTTTTTTTGAAGAACCCATACTAAAGTTTCTAGGGAAAATTTCGGCAGGGAGCTTATTCCACAGCCTGAGCGTTCGTGAGAGAAAATTTCTGTGATTAATCTTAAAAATTAGTATATTTTATTTTGATACGTCATGTAAAAGTGGTTTGGATTTCCTACTTCTAAAACTTATAAAATTTTAAACTAATATTAAAATAAAAATATTAATAAAAATAATTGTGCATAGTATTTTTTTTTTAATTTATAATCTATTGTTGCAGAGGTTTCACGTATTATCAAGTATCAAATTTGGATAATCGGATAGCAAACGCCGATCAAGTATTGACTACAGACATAGAGAAATTCTGCGACACCGTTATAGACCTGTACAGCAATATCAGCAAACCTCTACTGGACATCGGCATATATCTGTACAGGCTGACGACAAATCTGGGAGCCACTGTAAGTAAACAACTATAATCTATATAACTATATGTATGTATATATGTGTATGGCACATACCACTATTATGGTATTTTCCTCAAAGGTTCGTAAGTCGACAAACAACAAAAAAATTTTGAACGTCCTTTATTATTGCCAGTAAGTTGTCAGCAGGGTTGCCAGGTGTAATTAATAAAAATACCGAATGTGACCATTGGCGAGGTTTTTTTTTTATTGTAATTTACACTTTATTTTGTTAAGTGTATAGATGTTGCAGTCAAAACTCTTAACCAGTCAAAAGTACTATTGACTAGCAAAATCAGGCAAAAAAGTACTTTTGACTGTATGCTTTAGCCAATAATATTTTTGACAAAAGTAACAGTTAAAAGTATTTAACCTAACCGCAAATTTGCGACCTCCTCGCAGTCCCCCCTGGAAACTATTGTGATTGAATCATTAGTGAATTTGTCATGATGGGCTAAATGACCTGCTTCATCCTCACCTATATCACCCTTCACTGGTTCCCCGCCAGCGTATACCGATAGCGCAGGCGGGTCACTATTCCATTATCATCCAATAAAAAAAAACCGCAAATTTGCAATCAAAAGTACTAATAACCAATAATTTTCAGTCAAAACCACTTTTGACCAACCTGTTCAGTCAAAAGTACTTTTGACTGGTTAAGAGTTTTGACTGCAACATATACATCTATACTAATATTATAAAGAGGAAAGATTTGACTATTAATTTATTTGTGGATAAACTTTAAAAGTACTCAACCGATTTTAAAAATTGTTGCATCTATAGACAGCTGCATTACATATTAACATAGCGTATATATTATTTTCCAAATATCTGTCTAGCCGTTTTTATTGTTGCTACATGCATAAAGTAGGTGAATTGTAATGGATGCTAATGGAATGGTAGCCCCACCTGCGCTATCAGTATACACTGGCGGGGCACCAGTAAGGGATGATAGGTGAGAATGAAAAAGCAAGTCAGTCCATCGTGATAAAAATATCTGGAATTCGCCACGATGGTTTCCAGGAGGAACCACGTGGAGGTCAACCGGACAGGGTATATTGCTAGCAATGGGATTGGTAGTTCGCATCACTAACAGTCCCTTCCCCCTTGAGTAGATGAATTAGGTTCACAGAGCACAAAAGGTTTATAGGACCGCTTGCAGGGGACACCGTCGTCTGCGTTTTATCTGTAAATTAATACACCGAACTATCCTTTTCATCAGCAAACAAGCTGATGGTCCACCTGATGGAAAGTGGTAACCGTTGCCTATAGACAAGAGCAGTACCATGGACATAACAGAGTATACTGTTTCGCACATGATACCCCCCATGCGTTGCCATTCCTGAGGACTCAGGTGTTATTCCTCTATACCCTGTAAATTCACGCCATATCCCACCCTTCAAACCGAAACACAGCCATGCAAACACAACTGCTTCACTATCCTTTTGTAATAATTTAATATTTTTGGCATACCGTACACAGTTCACGAAGTTGAAGTCCAGGGAACCTGGGAACCCTGATTGACAATCGAACGCGCCATGTTTGTATTGGAGGCTCGCCATTTTGTTTTTGTCGACTTATATTCCTTTGTTAAAAATGTTTAGTTTCACAGATAAAAAAAAGTTCGAATTAGCCGTTTAACTAAAATTTTGCATTTATATAATTCAATGTCCGTTCATAGAAAAAATAAAAATAAAAAAAAAAACACTATAGTACGAAGAATCGAATCTTTTTAGATTCGATAATAGAAATGATAAACAAACTACTACATTTAACTACATAAAGGAAATTACATTTTAAATAAAAAAATTGGGAACATTTCATTGTAGTAAGACGCGTACAAACTGAGTTCTAGTTTCTCTTACATTACAACACGATTATAAATAGTATAGATAGATAGATAGATACTCTTTATTGTTTCCTCCAAAGGATTACAATAGTAAACTTATTATAAATATAAATAATTACAAGAAATAATCATAATGAGAAAACAATGGGCGACCTTATCGCTAAGAGCGATCTCATCCAGGCAACCTTTGGATGGAGAGGAGTAATTATAAATAATTTGGTGGGAGACACGATGAAAAATTTTGTTAGTTCTAAATATGGGAGATGTGATACATTTTGTTATCTTTGTTTTAACTTTTATTTTTATTTTAGCTATTGCTTTTGTCGCTGTTTTAATGCGACAACCTCCATATCTTTGTCATATTGACTATCTTATACATTTACTGAGTTTTTATTTCCGAGATTAATATAATCTTGCCGTCTGTTTACGACTAGGAAGTCGTAAATAAACGGCAAGTGAAAACAAAGACTTCTTGTTTTAATTTAGACTTTGGCCCGACTATAGAAAACCTTATAAAGAGAGAAAAATGTGCAAAATAATAGTAATAAAATTATTCTTTTATGTAGTCTCCTTGTAGAACAACGTTAATTTGTCGGGTATCATTTTTGGTCACCGTTTACTTTACTAATCACGAATAGTTATTCCAAGTATAGTTATACGTTAGATTGCATGGAAAAATAAATTTTGATTTATTCGAGATTAAGATCATGGAATAGACTATCGGCGGTATAGTTGTTCGTGTATAAATTAAAGTTTGGTCGAATCCACCCAAAGGTGGCAAACAAGTATACGGCCCACCTCATGGTAAGCGGTTACCGTATCTTTTCAAATAAAAACAAAATTTCTAAATCGATTTACAACTGACGGAGTTATGAGGTAATAAATTAACAAAAAAAATGCAACCGAATTGAGAACTTCCTTTTTAAAATCGGTTGAAATGTGATAGGTATCATAATAAGAAAATTGCCATATAAAAAGCGTATATAAAAATTATAATGGAACATTGCTAATTATCATAAGCAAATTATTGCTGCATACATTATATAATGTACTTTTGACCACAGAATATTTAATTGTTTTTTGTCTAGATCACTTTATTTAACCCCTTGATCTAACCGTAACTTGACCGTTGGATTTAAAAATACCTTCAATTCCTCGGATTATTTGAATAGCTTGTTGTATTTTTCGGCGTTACCCGCGTAAATCACTACATAAAATATTCTATCTGCTAAGTTAGGATATAACGTACTTTACACAGGTTGGTTATATCAATTTTATTCAAATCTGTTCAGTGGTTTTTGTGTAAAAAACTAAGAAACAGCCATACATTCTTACAAATTTTAGCATTTATAATATTATTAGAATTATATTTTTTATGCAACTTAGAATGGCAAACAAGCAAACGTCCTACCTGATAAAAAGTGGTAACCGTCGCCTATAGACATGAGCAGTACCGTAGACATGACAGAGTATACTGTTTCGCCCATGATACCCTCTATGCGTTGCCATTCTTAAGCACTCAGGTGTTATTCCTCTGTACCCAGTAAATTCACTGCCATATCCCACCCTTCAAACCAAAACACAGCTATGCAAACACAACCGCTTCACGGTAGAAACACGAATGGACAGAGGTGCCCAAGCAAACGACTTTTGTACAAAGTCTCCCTCTGGTGAATTTAAACATCCAAACACATCTTCAATTAATTAATTTTTAATTTCAATTTAATTGCTTTCTATTTGTATACAATTATTATTTTCTTTTGTTTCTTTTATTTTGATTTCTTTTGCTCTTGTTTTGTGTGCTACTGTGCGGGCCGCATGCTTCTTTGGTTAAATTATTTCTTTCTTTCTTTCAATTTACATTACTAGTGAAACAACAGTGAAAAATCAGATGTTATTGTGAACATGAATATTAATTAGGTATTTATTAATCTATACATTATATCTCATATAATATACGATACGTGCAATGATGATAACAATTCATAATCAAATTCATATATCTAAATATTTGTAAATAATCAATAATATAGATTTTGTAATACTGATAAATTTTAGCTAATACTATATGTTCGTGATTACGCCACACGAACATATAGTGGGTGGCAAATGAAAAATTAAAATTATTGAATTTACTGTTTTTATTTAATACTTCTAAATACACTGATCGAAAAAATATCGCAATATAACTACATTTTAATATCTGAAATGCTCGCTTGAGCGACAGACGGACGGGATCAAATCAATGACAAGTATAGTTATAATTTTTTACTAGAATTTAGGAGTAGACTATGAGAGACTTAGATCTTACCCATTAGAAATAAATCTGTGAATAATTGAACTGATTATTTGACTAATCAAATAAAAAACAAAATAATTCTAAAATTATTTTGTTTAATTTCGCTACCATTAGTATGCGTGCGACTGCCAACACTCGAAGATTGACTACTTTTATTATTACCAGAAATTCTACAACCTTCTATATCAGCCATCAATTTCCGACCGTCATTCAGTCCACGCACGTCTTGTAACACGTATTTCATCTCTAAATGAGGCATCTTCAGATATATTAATAGATCGCTGCTCGGAGCCTAGTTAACCGTTCATTTTTACGCGGTTTGTTTATCGAATCGAATTAAAAACCGGCTCCTTTTTTTAAATCGGTTGAAAAGTATGTAGCACGCTGTTCAATTGAAGAAACATTATGACAATTGAAAAATTAGTCCAACTGAAATCTATATTGTCGTAGAATGCTCGTTCCTGATTTTCAACCGAATTTAAAAAAGAGATTGTATTTTTTTTTCTTTTGTTTTTTTTCATAACTCCATTGTAAACCGGTTTTAAAACGTTCTTTTTTATTTAAAAGTATATACTTACAGATCAGTTTCATAGAAATTTTATCAAAATTGCTTCAGTAATTTAGTTTGGAAATCAAAATAACTGGTTTTGTCACAATTAAAGTCTTTTTTTTTCAATTGACTTCAAAAAGAAAAAGGTTGTCTATTCGGTTGTATTTTTTTTTTGTTTGTTACCTCATAACTCTAAACCGATGTAGATTTTTTTTTGAAAGGATATACTTACAATTTGGTTCCATTTTTTCAAAATCTTTTTATAAAATTAATTTTTAAATCTAAATAACTGGTTTTGT